AAAAAAAAATTATTTATCTTTTCGCATTTTTAACATTCTTATACCAATTCCTCGATGCCTATCCGCTACAAGTTAAAGAGTACGTTGAACACTTGATCAATGCCTGAGTGTGTGTGTGTGTGACTATATGTCTGTATGTGTGTGTGTGTGTGTTTGTGTGACTATATGTCTGTGTGTGTGTTTGTGTGACTATATGTCTGTGTGTGTGTGTGTTTGTGTGACTATATGTCTGTGTGTGTGTGTTTGTGTGACTATATGTCTGTGTGTGTGTGTTTGTGTGGCTATATGTGTGTGTGTGTGTATGTTTGTGTGGCTATATGTCTGTGTGTGTGTTTGTGTGGCTATATGTTTCTGTGTGCGTGTGTGTATGAAAATTATAGCCATTATTTCTAGATATCTATCTATTGTAAGCTATCTATCTATATCTATTGTTAGATATATTTTTGGGGTTTTAACCGCGCGCATACACACACACACGCACACATACACACGCACGCACACACACACACGCGCGCGTGCACACACGCACAGGAGCTAGCGTCTAAGCCATTACACTGTCTTGTCGTCCCACCAAACATATTCTTTTGGTTCTTAGGCGTTCCGTTCATATCTGGAAGACATGTTTCAATCATTTTAAAGTAACATCGCTGAACATGGGTACGTGCAGTTGAATAATGGCTGCATTCTTTAAATTTTCCATTTCTAGAAGTGAAAAAACTTAAAAGGCAATAGTTTAATTGGTAAAAATTATTTGTAGGCATTTTGCATCAAAAGTTCGTTCGTCCGTTCGTTAATTCATTCATTTGACCTTTCATTTACTCCTTCATTCATTCATTTATTGATTTATTCATGAAATTATCATTCTACCCATTCAATCATCACACATTCATTTGTTTTTATTTTAAAATGTTTGACAATTTCTTTAACATTGACAATTTTTATTGCCTTAGTATGCTTGCAACAACTGATGATGTCTATCAAGAAACCACCTTTGGATTCGGTTAAAAGAGTTCGACTGCCGAACGTGTTGGTTGGCTCATACAATCGCTTTTATTATCTGTAATAAAAAAAATTTACAGTTGAGACTTACTGTTGTTCTGAAAATAAAATGGTGTTTTATCGAAACACCATTTTTATGTTTTAATTCTACCATTTTTATGTTTTAATTCTACCATTTTTATGTTTTAATTCTACCATTTTTATGTTTTAATTCCACCAATCTTCATCACCATTTTCCGAAGAGTCACATGCATGCTTGTTTACACACGCCAAACAGTAAAGTGAGATAGAAAAAATTAAAAAAATTAAAGAGAGAGAGAGAGAAAGAGAGAGAAAGAACAAGAGTTAAAAAGACAACGAAGGTTATAGGGATTATAGGGAGAGAGAGAAAGAGGAAAGGAGAGAGAGTGAGAGAGTGAAAAAGAGTAAGACGAAGGAGAAACGAAAGAATGAGAAAAATTAAGAGACAACGAAAGTATGAAAGAGAGAAAGAGAGAGAGAGAGAAAGAAGGAGAGGAAGAGAAAGAGAGAATCAACATCATAAATGATAAAAACTATTAGAATAAAAAATTAATGATTCAACCGAGAAATAAAATCATTTTAATAATCTTTGCTTTTAACCGTCACTTTTTTCCAGCGACTTCAAAACGTTAATCAGTTTGATAACGCGATGTTAGCCAGTTAGTTCATTGCACAAGGTTTCGTTTTCATAAATAAGTCCTCCGTAAAACTGAGGTGCTTTTTTATTTTTTCCATTTTCATTAAAAATGATTTCGATTGGGTAAATTTGTAAATTATTATGTAAATAAATAGCTAATATTCTGAATTGAATAATTAAAAACTAAATCAGTTTTTAAGAGATTTGTTTAAAATATTGGATTTAAGAAATGCTTTGATAATGATGATGATTAAAATAACAATCTTGTCCCACCTAATGATAATTTTTTCAAATCTTACCTCGTACCTCTGGCAAAACAGTTTACCTTCTCGCAAATGACGTCACAGATTTTAACCCCCCTTATATAAATACCCCCCCCCTCATAAAAATTAGAGAGAGGTGCCATTTTGCCGTTAGCATTTTAAGATGTTCCATGCAAATGTTATCGATATAACTGAAGAACGAAGTCAACTAGAAAAACAAACCTAAAGAAATAACTTTTTAAATATTTTTTCGAAAATATAATACCAGAGTCGATTAGGTATTTAGTTAGTTAGGTTTTTTTATTGCAAATTTTATGTAACAGGAGAAAATAATGCTATCCTTTAAACAAGTTTTGAAAACCCACGAGAAGAATTTTGATTATGGCTCCAAGAATAGTTGAGTTGCCCGAGAACATTGAGCAGAAGGTAAGACTTGATTGAATTTTATTTTCATAACTTTTAATTTTTTTTAAATTTTTTAAAAATTGAAATAAATAAATTAACATTTAAATTAAAATTGAAACGTTTCCAGATTGAGGTGAGCGTAGAAATTGGACACAAGGCAGCAGTGAGGAGCCTCCCAACGAAGGAAGGATGCACGCACGACTGGATTGTGTACGTGAGGACTGACCAGGATCAGTTCGTTGAGAAAGTTGAATTCAACCTCCATCCGTCCTTCAAGAAGCCGAGAAGAGTTGTTAGAAGCGCGCCATTCCAGGTTGTTGAATGTGGTTACGGAGGCTTCCGCATGTCGATCGTCGTCCACTTCAGAGTGAACAACCAGCGACAGCCCGTTCCATTTGATTATTATTTGTTCCTGGGCGATGCAGTGGTCTCCAATAATGTCCTGCAGAAGGTCTCAATCCTATCAGGCACTCTTGAAAACTCAAAACCTCCTGCGAAGAAGAAACCCGGCAGGCCGAGAAAGAACAACAAATTACTATCTACCAACACATCTTCAGAGTTGTCACCATCAACAGAACTATCGTCATCATCATCATCGGTCTTGTCATCATCTTCATCATCAGTTTCATCGTCAAATGTCTCTGAATCGATAAATTCATCAACAGCTCTTCCTGTCAGAAAGGCTGGAAGGCCGAGGAAGAACGGGACAATCCCTGTCAAATCCATCGAGTCATCGTCTTCCTCATCTTCACCACCAACATCAAAACTGTCCTCCCATGACAATCGAGACCTCCGCAACAGACGGACAGTCTCAACGCTACCGGCCGACAAGTTGCGCGACCACGTCGACTGGTCTCTGAGACAAACAGCAACCATCAACCAAAATAACGTCAGTGAAGATGAACTGAATGAGAAAATTCGCGAATTATTGAAACTTCAGGAAACTTTGATGACGATGAACGAGAAGAATGTTTTGAAGAGAGTTGTTGGGATAATCCAAGAGGCTGGCTACTTGAAAGTCACAGAGTCCTCGTTTGATTTTGACCTCATGGAGATGGATGGCGTCACGATAGAATGCATTAAGAGGTGTATCGAAATCCATTGAGGATTTTTATTCGATTTTGAAATTATTGGGATTTTAAAATTTTTCTGAAATTGTACATAAATTTAAAAATTTAATTCTACATTTAAAAACCAATTACTTTCAATTGTATATATATTAATAGCATTTAATTGTACATATTTATGTATTAATTTTTAATTTGTACATTCATTCATTTGTACATATTTGCATTTGAGAACATTGACGAATAACTTTTTAATTTCATTTTTGTGAACTGACCTTTTTCCAATCTATTGCAAATAAAACGTCATCTGAAGAAATATTCTTCCAAAATGCGATAGTGGTCTACGTCACCATGATGACGTCATCGATATGTTAATTGCCATTATTATTAAAATCAGTTAGGCCTAGTTTACCAATCGACATTTCGAATTTAATTTAGGCCGAATTATTTAAAAAAAAATTTAATATACTTAAAATAGTAGAAGTGTATTAAATTTTTAATTAAGTTTAATAGGAAGCTGGGAGAATTTTGGATGAAATCTTTCTCTCTCTCTCTCTCTCTCTCTCTCTTTCTCTGATATATCATTCTTCTTTTCTAATTTTTCTCTTTGTTTCTCTTTGTTTTCTTTTCTACATCATCGTCATCATCATCGTCGACATAATTTTTCCGTACGAATAAAATAAAATTACTCATCAAATAAAGTTTCCGGAATGTAAGTTATAAATATTTATTAGAAACATGATTCATCGTTTAGATCATTCCTCTATCTTTTAAAAACTTCTTCTCTCTCTCTTTTTTCTCTGTCTCTCTCTTTTTTTCTTTCTTTCTGTTTGTCTCTCTCTCTGACTCTTTTTAATTTTTTTCTTTTGTAACATTTTAATCCTTTTCTTCTAATATCTACTTCAATTCTTTAATTTTTACAACCCATATTTTTTCTCTTCATTTTTGAATCTCTCTCTCTCTCTCTCTCTCTCTCTCTCTCTCTCTCTGACTATCGTTATAGCTTATTTGTTATTCTTTCATCCTTTTTCTTTCTCTCTTTCTTTCTCTCCTCTATCTCTCTCTATCTCTATCCTTTCATTTTTTCCAGTAATTTTCTTATTCTTTTATACTTTCGCTTTCTCTCTCTCCAGCTTTCTTTGTTTTGTTTAACTTTTTCTCTTTTTCTCTTTTCTTTCTTAACAAATTTTTTCTCTCTCCAGCTTTTTCCAAGTCTCTCTGTTTTTGTCTAGTTCTCTCTCTCTCTCTCTCTCTCTCTTTCTTTCTTTTTCTCTCTCTCACAACGTTTGTTAATTTTATTCTCATTGTTGTACACTTTCCTCTCTCTTTCTTTTATTCTTTCGCTATCACTCCTTCATTCTTTCAACAATCAAGATGGAGCAAGCATTATCTCGCTAAACATCCCCATAATTCATCATCATCAAACCAACTACAATAAATTATCGCTCCAACTACTACTACTACTACTACTACTAATTCTATTACTACTGCTACTGCTGCTACTACTACTGCTACTACTACTACTACTGCTGATTCGGCTACAACTATTACTGCTACTGCTATTACTACTGCTTCTATTAGTACTACTCATATCAATACTATTACTGCTGCAACGACTACTACACTACTACTTCTGATACTACTACTACTACTACACATACTACTACTACTACTACCTACTACTACTACTACTACTACTACTACTACTACTACTACTACTACTACTACTACTACCTACTACTACTACTAAGAACTAGAAGACAGCAAATGTAAGATGTTATCATTATTACTATGAGCGGCAATTAAGGAAAGTCATTAAGTCTATATCATCATCATCATCATCACCGTCGTTATCATCATCATTGTCATTATCATCATCATCACCATCCACAACATCGTCATCATCGCCATCATCATCGCCATCATCATCACCATCATCATCACCATCATCATCACTATCATCATCACCATCATCATCATCGCTGTTCTTTGACCAACTAAAACCTGGTTCACGGAGGCGTGGATATATGATCACGTGATGTGTCACGTGAGTGACGTATTCATTCATCCATCCGACTATCGATCGATCGATTCATTCATTCATTCTTCGTTCGTTCGTTCGTTCGTTCATTCATTCATTCATTCATTCATCTTTTTCTTCAACAATCTTCCATTTCCTCTATCCATATACCATCTGTTCCCGAGTTCAGCCTCATCATTTATCTATTCATTCATTCATCCATTATTTCATCCGTCTATTTCTTCAATCATTCATTTTTTTGGCATTTACTTATCTGTCCTATTGTTTGTCCTTTCTTCCATTTAATTATCCAATCATCCATTAATGAATGAGGGAATGTGTTAATGAATGAATAAATAGTTGAAAAGGCCAATAAATGAATGAATAAATGTTAAAATGAATGAATGAATGGATAGAATGATAGATTGAGAATGAATTAATGAAAGAATAAAAAAATAATATGATAAATAAATCAATATATTGAAACGACGGTCTGGTTTAATTGATTGATGGATGGATTGATGGATGGATGGAAAATGGATGGATGGATGAATGTAGAATTATTTGAATGGCGTTCAAACGATTTATAGCAGCACAAACACACACACACACACAAACTCACACACACACAAACACACACACACACGCAAACACACACACAGCTCGTGTTGGTATGTGTAAACTGATATTGAGGCTAATTGTAAGCAAAAATTGCTAGTGTTTTTATTTTAGGTAAATATTCAGACAGTTTAAAAATTAATATGCCAATAGAGAATAAATAAAAATTTAAGAGTAAGCTGAAGTTCAGAGGAATGTTATTAGAATGGAGTTTGCACTATTTATGAGTTACATAAAAAAAAGTCCATAGGGAGTTAGCTCAAGAACGTCATCATTCCATTCGTTCGTTCGTTCGTCCATTCGTTCGTTCGTTCATTCGTTCGTTCGTTCACTCGTTCATGCATGCAATAATAAATTCTTTCGTTTGTACTTCGTTTTTTATTTGTTTGTGCGAGATGAAAATTCTAAAATTTAGATAACGAATTTTCAAAATCCAATGCGAGGTAAGAACACACCACTAAGAGGTATTTCAAAATATTTTATATTAACGCCAGAAGTTTGCTAAGTATCGACCAAAAGGAAGAGTTAGCTCAGTATGAAAAGCCTGTTATTGAATCTTGGGCGAAAGACAGCATGCATGGCTTGGAATCTAGTATCAGAGGTTACACGTTATTTAGAAAAGACGGAGAGGATAATCATGGACATGGAGTAGAAGGAATTGTGCTATTTGCAAAAAAAACCAACTTGAATGCCAATGCCAGGAATGACACTACTGGCAGTATCAATTTCACGGAGACAATGTGCTGTTGTAGGTAGCGATAAAGATACTGAAATTTTAGTAGGCGAATTGCAAAAGATATGCAAATGGGCAGAGGATTGGCAGACGGTATTCAACACTAACAAGTGTGCAGTCATACACATGGGAGAGAACAACAAGGCAAACGTATTCAAACTTGGAGACACACAACTAAAAAATGTAGAGAAGGAAAAGTGTCTAGGGGTGATAAATGGTAAGGTAGCACGGTAATGCATCGAGCAAAAATCTTTATGTTATGCTATGCTATGTTATATATTCACTCACTGACTTACTGACTCATTCATTCATCCATTCATTCATTCGTCCATTCATTCCTTTTATTCATCTATTTTTTCGTTCTCGTACTCCTATAAAATATTCATATTTATAGTTAGGCCATTTGAGAATGTTGGTGGTGTTCGTTGGGCAGAAAGCTTTCTTGTGCGTCTTCTCGTGTCAAACGATATTGAAAAAGTTACATGAAGATGAAACGCCGTGTAGAATTGTACAACAAAAAGAAGTAAATTTTAAAATTTTAAACAGTTTTACGAACGCGCTTCTATTCTGTTTGCTTTTTATTTGCTGGCCACCCCTGCAAGAAAATAAAATAAATGAAATGAAACAAAAGTATTCGCACCTCGGAAGTTTTAAAATTAACACAACACCTTCGTGGTGGATCAAAAGTAGAAAATTTAGAAGTTGGTCGGTTTGTCTTTTAGCTTTGTCTTTGTCTTTCTACGCGTTTCGTTCACGATTCTGTCTTTCGTTGAATGTTAATCAACGTGATTTTTTTTCTATTTTATTCATTTATTCATTCACTCACTCATTCATTCACTCACTCACTCACTCACTCACCAACTCACTCACTCACAATGACGAATATCCCAACTCATTCATCGTCATGAGCAAACACTCATTCATTCGTTCATTCATTCATTCATTCATTCATATCTCAATGATACGAATGAGTGAAATAAGTAGTATCATTTCATCACAACCAAATTGAAATTGACAAAAAAGAACACTTGTAAATATTGATAATTAATTTTATTCGTACAATTTTTAAATATAAAATGAATAAAAATGTCAATGAAGTACTAAATTAAAATAATAATATAAATAATAATAATTATTATTATGAATATTAATTATTATAATTATTCTTTATGAAAAATTGTAGATGCACATTTGAAAGAAATTTTAAAAGCAGACACAGCCAATGCATAGCATTTATTGACGTTTGGAGTCATCGTACTAGTAAGGTTTCGAAATTGAATGGATGAATGAATGAATGAATGAATGAACAAATAAACAAATGAATGACTAAATGAATTGATGGATGAATGGAGGAGAGACTGAATGCATTAACAAATAATGTAATGAATAGATGAATTGATGAATTGAAGAGTGAATGAGCTGATGGAATAAAACGAATGAATTAATTGAAAGAATGAATGAATGAGCAAGTTGACGAATGAAAGACGTTACGAATGAATGAACAAATAAAACCTCCGTGTATGTGTGTGTTTATGTGTGTGTGAGCGCGTATGTATGTGTGTGTGTGTTTATATAAAACATAAAATCTCAGTTACATAAAACTAGCTAAATAACTGGAATACCATAATTCAGGAAGGAGAATAATATAAATAATTATAATTACTTCGGAAAATAATAAAATCGAATAGTAAATAATAAAAAGATGGCGGTACTAGCTGAAATGTCTTGGACATGGAGAAGAATAAATTTTTTGACAAAAATAAAAACAAGAAAACAACAACAACAACAAAACCGCCTTATTACATTCAATATATCATTATACAAAACTAAACGCACGCACATCACACACACGCACGCACACGCACATACACACGCACACATACACAGATACGCCGAAAATGCTGTGACTTTCCTAAACAACTGCCCATCTGATAGTCTGAATCCTAAATATATTACTGCATGAATTCTACCGAATTGTAGACATTAATCAATTTAAAGTTTTTCTTATTAAATTTCCTTAACTAGAATTTTCTGGGAACTGTTCATATTTATTGAAAATAGAATCATTATCCAAGTTCATTATGCAGATAGGCCTTGTTTTGATTTTTCACAAATCATCTTCAGGGCAGGTTTGGTTTATATGATCTTATATAGTTTCTTTGAGCAAAGCATGCTGTAAATGCCATCAATAATTGCATTCCAACCATCCACCATTCATTCATCCATCCATCCATCCATCCATCCATCCATCCATCCATCCATTCATTCATTCATTCATTCATTCATTCATTCATTCATTCATTCATTCATTCATTCATTCATTCATTCATTCATTCCTGCTCGGGAATATCGTACAGCTTATCGGTGAGATTATTATTAGAAGGCGAGTGACAAGAGGGCGATGATGATGACGGCAAAACATAAGGCGATGATGATAATGATAACGACAACGTCGATGATGATGATGATAGCGGTTGTTCGAGAACTGTCGGTGATGATGATGATGTGGTGATGGAAGTCTGCTGCTGTTGTGGGAGAGGAGGAGGCGGGGGCAGTTGAACCTTCGTCGCTAGGTCAAGGTCACTCACCCATCTGGAGATGATTAAATGGTGATGATGATGATCGTATAGGTGATAATGGTGATGATGATGATCATGAAGGTGATTAGCATTTCTTCAATATCATCACCATCATCATCATCATCATCATTATTATATAAATTATTATTATTTTATTATTCTTATTAATATTATCACCATTATCACCATCATCCTCACCACCATCCATACAACTCACTTATCGAAGACGGTCTTGTCGTCAATTGAGAAGAAATAGACCTTGGGAAGTTGGCCGTGAAAGACCCTGAAGCAGTTCGACCTTAAAAGGTCATCGGAGGTCAGGGGTTCAATGGTGTAACCCGGAAGGGGCAGGGAGAATTCGGCTTGGTTGTCCTGATAGACGTCGTCGTCGTCGTGGAAAAATGAATGAACGAATGAATAAATGAATGAATGAATGAATGAATGAATGAATGAATGAATGAATGAATGAATGAATGAATGAATGAACAGGTGAAAATGAAAATTTGAGTGAATAAATGAAAATAAATAAAGACAAAAAGCCACGAAAACAAATGGGCGAATGAATGATTGAATAATAATAATAATAATGAAGGAATGAAAGTGAACGAATGAAAGTGAATGAACGAATAAAAGTGAATGAAGGAATGAAAGTAAATGG